GAGCGGGTCTCTCGGTCTCTGCCTGAGTCGCTCCGGCTCCTGCCCGGGAGGGATTTGGGGTGCTGTACTCTTTGATTTTTGAGAAGGGAGAGGGGGGGGCGGAAAGTCGGTGGGTTTTGTTCAACCTGGTCCGACGTATTTATTTTGGGTTAAAACGCTTAACCCAACCCTCCGAGAGGAAAAAAAAAATGGCTGGAGAGAGGCAAACCTAACCCTAAACATTTGCCACAAAAGTTTAAACGGGGAAGAAATTGCTAAAAATTTGCACCTTTTCCTTTCTTCCCGCCCCCATCTGTTTTTTCGGAACAGCCCAGCGTCTGAAACCTCCTTGTTTGTAAAGTCGCTACCATGAAGTGAGAGGGGGAAACGCAGGCTACCGAGTTGGCGCCTTGCTGCCCTGGGCACAGGCCGCCCACTGCCGGCTCCTTCCTCAGGGAGAGGCCCAAAGGAACGCGAAAAGCATCGGCCATGCTCAGCCCCAGCTAAATCGGGCTCCCTACGGAGCTTAGAAGCAGCGGCAGAGAGAGGAGGATCCCCGGGGGATCAGCAGCCCAGGGAGCCCGTGGGGTGTTAGGGAATGTAGAACTCTTGCCTTCAGGGGTGCGGAGAGTTGGGACTGGGGGATCAAGTCAGGTTTGCGTCTCTAGGCGAGATAATATTGTCCCTTTACCCCCCACCCGGCCCTCATCTATGGCCATCATGATCCCTCTTCTCAGTAGCAGCAGCCTTAGGGCGATGATGTGCCTGATGATGAGCAGGATGAAGTTGGAAATGACTCCACTGTTTTTCCTATTTACTCTTCTGCAAACCTGCACCGTGTTCTTTGTAGTTGATGATTTGGTTGGCAGGGAAATCTCATACCTCCCGGGATGTGCACTCCTCTTCTGCACTCTCTTCTCAGCTCTCCATCAAGTGTAATAATCCTGAAAAAAGGGGGCAACATAGCAATAGTGGAAGTCTGAGAATAATAATCAGCAGAGTCATGAATCTGGCTGGGGTAAAACGCAATTTGTAATTTGTTTTTTATATATATCTTTTTTTTTTGGTAAGCAAGGCAAAAATAACCCCACATGGATTGGGCTTGTGCCAATTGCTTTTTATTGTATACATAAATCGTGATTTTTTTCTCTTTTCATTCTCACCCACTTATTCCTGTGGTTAAACTTTTCACACAAGCATATTTTCTTCAAAAAAAATTTTTCTCTCTCCCCTCCTCCCCACCCCCATTCCCTTGGGTACTGTTGCAAAACTGCTTCTTGTCCAATCATGGTTGGACAACTACATATTTTGTTTCTTGCCCCTTTAATAGGATAGCCTCATAAAATATTACCTGAGGGGGGTGTGTTGGGTTACATTTGCGTTTTATCTATTCAGTCGTATTAGCGGGAATAAAATGACTTGTTTCTGTTGTACTTGAGTCTTATGAAAAAGTGCCCATAGTTTAGTGACAGTTTCCAAAGGCTTTAGTACCACCTGTATTACAAAATGGGGGACCCAAACTCCCGGAAGAAACAAGCTCTGAACAGACTTCGTGCTCAGCTTAGGAAGAAAAAAGAATCTTTAGCTGACCAGTTTGATTTCAAGATGTACATTGCCTTTGTATTCAAGGACAAGGTAACTTCATTTTAAAATCCTTTTTTCTGTGTTGTCTGTTACAATAGGATATCTACTCTTGCATTTTGTTAGCAACTTTTTAGAAAATGATCCAAGGTCAAAAATGAAATTTAAAATCTGTCAATCTGTTACCATGTTGTCTGAATGTTTGCCATTAAGTGACTTTAGCTCTCATTTGTCATGGGCTTGCATCACAGTGAGTTTTAGGGAGGTAAAAACCTGTTTAATTTGTTAATTGGTTAGAGGTGGTGGTTAACTGATTAAAGGGTATGGGCAGGACCTCTTCTCACTACAAGAAGGGTGCTGCTCTAGTGCCCTGTCTAAGTCTAGAACAGTCCCTGGCCTGCAGCAAGTGGGAAGCTGCTGCAGCAGCCCCTGCAAATTAAAGATTAACTGAGACTGGTAAGCATCACCATCGTGAGTGCAAACTCATCACTGAGATGCGTGCATCCCATTAAGTCTCTTCCCAACATGGGATGGAAGTAAAAAGTACAGTGTTGCTTGTCTAAGCCTAATTTGGGCTGTGAACCAGATGTTTATGAAAGTCAGAGTTGTGACTTCCTATTAAAACACTTCTTGAAATGGTACACACACGTATTTGAAGCTGCTGTCATTAAAACAAGTCTTTATTTGCTTGGCTGCAGTGAACAGCACTTTAGGAGTTGTCATGTTTTTCTATTCTTGGATAACTCACCTATCCATTTATATCTATAATGTAGGTTTTGTCTAACTGTTGGCAGCTACTTTTTTCACTAGACAGTTTGTAAAACTCTTCACTTGGAATTACTAGTGAATTCCTAGGATAATTCACTAGTAATTCTGTGTCAACTAGCTTAAATTTAAAACTAGGATGAAAAGTTTATCTATTGCAGTATGTCTCTCCCCCCCCTTCAAATGAAGGATGAGGCTATATTTTGAAATGTAATGTGAAGGAATTGAGCAAATGTAGGCCTTTTTTAATGGCTATGTCTACACTATTACTTATATCTGCAAAACATTTGGCACTCAGGTGTGTGTGCACTAACACCCTATAAATGACATAGTTTTTGCTAGCATAAGTGCTCCTGCGCATAGTGCTATGTTGGTGGGAGATGACAGTGACGTTAGTACCCCCACTTATGCAGCTGGTTTTTTTAATGTTGCCAGGAGAGAGCATAACAGGGCTACGTGAGTGATCTTACAGCATCAATACAGCTGTGTTCCTGTAAGCTTGTAAGTGTAGACATGGCCTTAATCTGCAATTACTTTCTGAAAGCTCTTTTCCTGAATTCCACAATAGGGTGTTGACAAGCCATTTATTCTAAATCTGATTCCAATCTCAGTGTTATGAGTGATAGCCATGCAAGGCAAACTGTATTAGGAGTTGGTCTAGTAGTAGTAGTCATGCGTGTCTCCCCTAGTCTTCCTGGACAAACTCCATGGACAATTGTAGCAATTACAGATCTGTGAGAACCAAGTATTAAGGAAGTGAACATCTCACTGAGAAAAAGTGGGGTTTTTTTGGTCAAATCGTGTTACACTATTTGTATTTTTTTCAACGGAGTACAAGCTATAGAATTGCAAACATTTATATATGGGAGTGTGATAGCAACTAGAGACCAGTAGGTCCACACTTTGTCATATGACAATAAGACAGCTTAACTTATTCACGTGTCCATTATTATGATAAGATTCAGTGCTATTAATATTCTAGTAAGAAGGTGGCAGCATATGTCGTGTTTGACAGAAATGTTTAAGCAGTTACAGAAACTAGCTTTTCCAAACTGAGACAATATTTGTCTGCATGGCAGTGATAATACCAATGTAACTTTATAGATGTTTTGGGGAGTGTCCTGTGCATGCCTGCTTTTTCTGAAACTCCTCTTGCATCCAAGTGGACTCTGTAATTCTCTGTCCTAATGTTAGTGCTCTGCATGCACACCAAGACTTAAGATGTTTGAAAGCATTGTGGGAGTAATCCAGTCTGAAGCATGCAAAAAAAGGAAGATAAATGTCTATTACCGCCTAATGAGGTGTTCAGAAGGGAGAAATCAAGATCTCAATGTGTTATAAGAAAATCTGTTAGGAACAGGCAAACAACCTTTGTTTATAGGTGATGTAGGTGCAATGGAAAACTGCTTTGCCCCCCCTCCCAAAAAAAAAAGGTGCTGAAGCAGTTATTCATAGTTAACTGCCACTGTGGAAACAATGGGGGGGGAAAAACAGCTGTGAAAGTGAGTTAGAAAATAAGCTACTCTTCTGGTTGGGGGTCTGTGACTGATAGAATTAAGGCTTTTCTACATTACTTCTGCTTCAGTAGAATGTTTGTTGTTCAGGGGTGTGAATAATCCACACCCCTGAGACACAAGTCCCACTATGTCAGTGGGAGAGCTTTGCTTGCAGACATAACTGCTTCCCTCTTGGAGGTAGAGTAATTAAGTTGACAGGAAAACACTAATGTCTTCACCACACAGATGCTGTAGCTCTTACAATTATTCCAGATTGGATTTACCTCCCTTATACTGATAGTGGAGTTCTTGTAGTAGGGGGAAGAAATACTTAAACTTCCATTTGTTAGGAATTGGCAACTTTATGGATGAGAAATACCTTTAATTAACTTAGCTCCCAGCAGAAATCTATATCTAGAGCTGTTGCCAAAATTACAGCTGTCAATTTTAGATAAAGCTCCAGTCCCATCACTTCTTATGCATGTCTTTAACTTGAAGCGTATGCCAAAAAAAACCTCTTGTGGGGATTGGGGCCTGAGTCATCTGTCTAAATAGACCTCTTTGATGTATTAGTTCTGTCTTGAAGAGTTTTGCAAGTAATTTAAGACTGAATTATGACTTTAAGATAAGCCACTAATGCAGTTCTTAAGCAACACTAGCACTGAGGGGGAAACATACAGGCTTTAAAATGTAATCTCAAACTGCTTGGAAAAAGCATAGACCCCTAATGTGACTTTTTTGTTTGGTTTTTTTAGAAGAAGAAGTCAGCACTTTTTGAAGTGTCTGAAGTGATACCAGTCATGACCAATAATTATGAAGAAAATATCCTGAAAGGTGTGCGGGATTCCAGCTATTCCCTGGAAAGTTCCATAGAGCTTCTACAGAAGGATGTAGTACAGCTTCATGCTCCCCGCTACCAGTCTATGCGAAGGGTAAATAACTTCTTAAACTTACTAGTTTAGGCCTGGATTGTTGTGCCCAAGATGTGTATTTGTGTAATTATTAAAACGCTCCATGTGTACTTGAATAGGATGGATTAAATGCTTAGAAATGTTATGATACATCTTCCTGCCAGCCTTTTTGTCCTCTAGTGAGCAAATATTAATCTTTACAGACCAGTATTTTTGTAGGATAGCTAAATGCTTATTCCATCGTATAAACAAGTGGATTGGGATAGAATGTGGAGCTGAGTAATAGTATTCACAATTCTTATAGTTCTTTCACATAAATTTTTCTGCTCTTGCACTGATCTGCTGTACAAGTAATTTGAGCAAACCATTTAACTTCTTGCAGGATGTGATTGGCTGTACCCAGGAGATGGACTTCATTCTTTGGCCTCGGAATGATATTGAGAAGATAGTCTGTCTCTTGTTTTCTCGGTGGAAGGGATCTGATGATGAGCCCTATAGGCCTGTTCAGGTAGTCTATAAATTTAAAGAAAATATTTAACTTATTTTGAAATTTCTCATGAAATGCTGACTTGTTGTGCCAGTGTATAATGAGCTTCTACCAAATTAATGCTATTACAAACATAGGCGGACATACCAGAAGCTTCAGATCACCATAGGATAGAGAAGGATTTTTAGTTCAAGTATTGTCAGACTATTCCTCTTAGTTTCTGAGCTCATGCTCATTGAAGTCCATAGTAAAGCTCCCATTGACTTCAGTGATGTAAGATCAGGACTTAAATGTATTCTCTTGAATTAGAATTATAGTTAACATATTGTATATGTTGTTTCTGAAACGATATTCATTGAGAATTTATTGGCCACTTCTTTTACAAAGTAAGGATGTTAAATATCAATTAATTTACCAGTCAAGTAGTCAATGGAATTTCCATTGACTACTCAGCTAGTTGATAGGCACTTCTGTATTCCTCCTTTGACATGTTCAAGAGTCCTATCGGGGGCCCTTGTGCATTTCAGAGCGCAAACGCTCACATGGAGCTGGAGTCGGTGGGGGACCAGGAGTCCCTTGCTGACCCCAGGCTCCATGTGGTGTTGCCGCTTTGAAATGCAGTGTGGTGCTGGGGACTTCCCGGCTGATTCCGGGTTCCCTGTGGCATTTCTGCAGAACCTGGGGTCAGCTGGGGAGTCTCCAGCTGACACAGGCTCCATGCGGCACTGCTGCTTTGAAACGCCACCGTGGTGTTTCAAAACAGCAGCGCAGCATGGAGCCTGTACCCTGGGCTCCATGTGGTGCTGACACTTTGAAATACCCCCTCTTTTTGCCCTTCTTTTCTGCTTCTGTGATAGAGGCAGTGGGGAAGGGGGAAGAACTAGTCGAATATCTGATAAGCATTTGCTTATGGGATAGGTGACTAGTCCTTAACATCCTTATTACAAAGCAAGCTAAAGTATTGAATATATACTTCTTTTCGTTACTTCATTCTAATAGTGATGTCAGCAGACTTAGTATCTGAAAGATCATCTGTAAAGAAGTTGGAGTTACATAATTTAGTAGCTGCAGAAACTGGAATTAGACGTGCCTGTCTTCATTATAATCCAGACTTCGTTATCCAAAGGAGTTTGAGCTAATCATGAAAAGTCACTTGATAAGTGGAATTGTTAATGTTTGATACATGGAAGAGGGGAGTAACTGTAGCAGGCGTGGAGGGGGGGGGGGGGGCACTTCACAAATTGAGAATAGTGGTTGCAGGCCAGTTCTGCCCTCTAGGTGCCACACGCCCCTGGCAAACAGGCTGACAGCCTGTAAAGCACTGCTAATGTTTTTTGCATCTGTAAATACTTTTTTCATTCTTGATATAATTTGATGTGCTTGAAACTGGTCATTTTTATCCCTACTGCTCTTGCCACCTTACACATGGCAAAAAGCCTAACTCTAAGGTCTTGTCTAAGCAGACTTGCACCCTTTAGCTATATGCACATAAACTGTATGAATAAACTGAGGTAGCTATAGTGCAAGTTTGCTGAGACCTACTAAGAGTTAAGGAGCAACACTTATCAGTCAAGATAATTACTCCATTTGGAGTTCTTACAAGGACACAATCAGTTTGAAAGTCCATTTAAAACTGATATTTTTACATGCTTGGCCTGCAGTTACTTTGTCAATGTCTATCAATTGAACTTCAACTTCTACAAATATTCTCTTCTCCCCCTCTTCCTTCCTCTCACTTTTTATTTGAAAACAAACTACAGGAAAAACTGATTGTACTCTTAAGTGCTGTCAGGTATGCCAAATAAACCTAGGTCATTTTTTCCTTAATGCAGCTTGCTCATGTGACTCTGCACTCCTTATGTCTGTCCAGCAGCAGAATAAAATGTACATCTCTTGTCACATTCTCCAAAGTTACAAACCTAATGCGTAGCAGTGAAACTGGTTGGTCCCATCCCTCCCCCCAAGCTTCTGTTTGGCAAATCTGAGCAGTAGACCTGGATCACATGTGAATTTTAGGAGTCTGATTTTTACTAAGATCAAACACAATGTTGTTAATGTGCTAAGCATTGTTTGTAAACGCTGCCTTTGTTCCTATACAGGCCAAGTTTGAATTTCATCATGGTGATTATGAGAAACAGTTTCTGCATGTTCTGAGCCGAAAGGACAAGACTGGAATTGTTATCAACAATCCTAACCAGTCGGTGTTTCTGTTCATTGATAGACAGCACTTGCAGGTAATGTAATCTTCATATTTTTCAGAGCATAGTTTTAAGGACTTAAGTTTTAGGTTATGGGAGAACAGTTTATCCTTTAAGTACGTGAAAGGAGAACAACTGTCCAAAGATTTATAAGTGATCTAGTTATAAGTATTTCGTGATCTAAGTTTATATGAACAAAATTGCTATGATCTTATGCAAGTGGTGTTACAGCAGCCCCCCCCTTCTGAATATTTAAAGATGCAACAATTGGATATAAGCAAAAATGTTGCCAAATAGGATTTTATTATGGAATCTTAATTGCTAAAACAGATTATCTGTGTTTTGGAAAGTTAAAGCAATTTTGGCATAATCCTTTTGACTACAAAAAAAAAAAGTTACTCAACCCACAACTTACAGTTGGAATGAAGAATTTTTGGAAGAACAAAAATTTAATTGTTAATTGCATTTTGCATGCAAGTAAGATTTTTGCTTATACCCAATTGTTGCATCTTTCAAACATCCATCCTATTCGGGCCAATTCGGAGCTCTGTTTCTTGTATCAAACTCTAGAAAAACCTCCACTAGGCAGGAGTAATACCCAAAATGATGACACCATTCAAAACATCTAATAGTTTTAAGTGCTCAACTGCCTGGACTCTTAGAATCATAGGACTGGAAAGGACCTGGGTTTTCTAGACCACTCCCCTGCACTCAAAGCAGGACTAAGTATTATCTAGGCCAGTGGGTCTCAACCCATGGGCAGCTTGGTGCCCAATCAGCACATAACTGCAGCCCATGTGACATTCTCCAGGCATACAAGTAGTAAATATATAGTGTGGATGTGGCCCACATAACATACGCAGCTTTCTTTGTATGGCCCACAATGGTAAATAGGTTGAGAACCACTGACCTAGACCATCCTTGACAGGTATTTGTCCAAAGTCTTGAGTCTCTAATGATGCAGATTCCGCAACCTCCCTAGGCAATTTATTCCCGTGCTTAACCACCCCAACAGGAAGCTTTTCTTGATGTCCAACCTACACCTTCCTTGCTGCAATTTAAGCCCATTCCTGTTTGTCCTATATTCTGAGGTTAAGGAGAACAATTCTTCACCCTCCTCCTTGGAGCAAGTCTTTTGTATACTTATTTGTCCTTTCTCAATATTCTGTTTTCCAGACTGAAGAAACACACATTTCTCAATCTTCTCTCTCAGGCCATATTTTCTAGAACTTTAATCTCCCCACTCCTCTCCCCTCCCCCAAATTCCTTTAATTGATCCACATATCTTGTGGAATATGGCACCCAGAACTGGATACGGTTCTCCATTTGAGGCCTAATCAGTGCAGAAAAGAGTGGCAGAATTATTTTGTCTTGTTCACAACATTTCAGTTAATACGTTTAAAATGCAGAGCTGCAGCGGAGGTAGGTCCGGGACCCTGCATGAGCCAGGATTGCTCAAAATCTCAATTGTTACACATCTATACATAAAGTCTAATTTGATAGCCATTTCCACAAAGATCTTACGCCACTTGTCACATCCCACTCATGGCTGTAAATCTTTGATGTCCAGTATTTTGATCGGACTCTGATGCATACATAGAATGGGCGAAGCGGAGTGGTTGTAAGAAACTCAACTTTAGTTTCAGGGATAGTTTTAAGTGGGATAGAGAACGGTTTTCTAACTTTAAACCTGTGCAAATTGTACCTTTTGGGTTGAATGTTGGTTGTGTACAAAGTAAATACTTATGAGAATTTTTCTTCCAGACTCCAAAAAACAAAGCTACAATCTTCAAGTTATGCAGCATCTGCCTGTACCTGCCACAGGAGCAGCTCACCCACTGGGCGGTTGGTACCATAGAGGATCACCTCCGTCCTTACATGCCAGAGTAGGGTACTGGCCAGCAAAATGGGGAAGATCACAGAATGCAGCAGTGAATTCTCACTTTCCTCGCCACTTCATTCTTTCAGAGTGTAGAAGAAAATGGACTCATGTTCAGAACACTATACATTGTGAAACTTGATCATCCTGGATTATTTTTTAATCATTTGTGTGTCAGAACTTTACAATTTTTTTAATTGTTTTCTGCATGGACCTTGTGAAAGAGGATGCTCTGCATATTTTTGCTTTGCGTCAGCATCTTACGAAAATGTGAAATGAAAGAACTGTTATACACTGAAACAAATGTATCTGAAAACACAAGGTGGTCATTTGTGGTGGTGTTCCCATTTGTGCTGATCATGCCCCCTAACATCTAATGTTAGTCATCAGTATTTGGAGGGTGAGAAGTGAATGTAACGGGTATAAAAGCTTTACAGCTTTGCTGTTAATGATTGTTTCAGAGAGCACTATCCGATTCAGTCTAATGAACAGAAGAGTGGCTGTTACAATAGAAAAGTAAATGTGGGGAAAGAATTCTTACAAGGAAAAAACATCTCATCCAATGTAGGCATTTCTTGCCTTTTTTAATTTTGCTGGGCCATGTTTAAGTTTACTGGCACTTTGACTTTTTTCAATCTTTCCCCAAGTTGCTGTATAACTGTATAAAAGAGTATTCTGTTGAGTTGGATACATTTAAGCAGATTGAGGCAGACCTGGAGTCTGAAGTAGTTTAAAGCAGCTAAAATTAAAGTAAAATAGTAGCTGCAGAGACCATTATGTTGGTAGAGGATTATTTTTTCTTCAGAGTTGAGACTTGTAAACTTACTGGCAAACTGCAGGAAATACTGGTTTCTAAATAATTTCTTATGGAAAACCTATGGAGGTTTTTTTTTTTAAATAGACATTATAAAGCAGTTGTGATCTTCACTGTAAAATAGTGTTTGGAGTGTCAAAAGTTGGCTCTGGCAGAACATTTTAAGACTGTGCAATGAAATAAGGAAGACTACTGTATAGTGTTGATGACAAAGAAGGCTTTGCTTAAGAGTTGAGTACTTTACTGGAGTAAATCTGTATAAGCCTGCTCCCTTTGGGTAAAACTAGTGCTTACCTGTTTAAATTTGTATTTAGCTTTTGTTTGGAATTGGGAAAAAATGGAAACTAAATAAATTAGATGAACAATGACAGTGTTGATTTTATACTAAGCTCATGAGCTTAATAACTTAGCTCCTATCTTAAAATGTCATCCACAAATATTTCAGACTTAAGCTTGTAGAACAATCCAGGCATAGCTTTGTCAGTGACAAAGACAAGTTATCACTCGTTAGTGGTAAAGACCTGTTCTCAGCATCTGATATGGCTATGGTAACATCAGCCTGCCATTTAAAAATAGTGATGTGACAACATTAATATTAAAATAGCTACCAAAAGCAGCTGAAACTGCTTAAGGGCATGTTGATATGCCGGAAGCACTGTGAATTCTACTTATTATATCTTTTCCTGGCAAGTCCCTTAAACTGAAGGGCTGCTATTTGAGGGCTGCTGAAGTGAAATCATGTAATTTCAATTTATAAAGAAAACATTGCTTCTTGTTTTCCCTACTTCTGTTGTGGGGCCTGATCCTTAAAAACACTGCTAAGGTACTTCAGAAGCCTTGGAATTATTGCCAATGGTGCTGGCCGGATCAGTCCATAATTCAGATGAGGAACCTGGCTTGTCCGGATCAGGCACTTGAGGCTCAGGCTCCACCCTGCGTTGTGGAGCCCGTGCTGGCACTCTAGCCTCCCTGCTGCCCCAGCACAGAGTTGGCATGCACAAAATCTACTAGGCTGGCTCCCCCAGGCTCTGGCGTGTGAGGGAAATGTGGGGAGTGTCTTTCTCCTTAATACGGATGCCATGTCATTGAGGGTTTTTGGTGTGTTGCTTTTCATTTGTGTATATGGCCCCCGACAAACTTACCTGTGGGGCAGTGGCCCCTGACCTATAAAAGGTTCCTTTCCCCTGCCATAACTGGAAACAGTGTGTTTCTTTTCAGTGACCTGTAAGATAAATAGCAGCAAAAACTTCAGTTCCACTTCTAGGGTATTGCCTTTCAACAATCTTGTTTTGAACACGATAACCTACTAGTGAGTAGGTATGTTAATATCGGGTAATTGAATAGTCGAGTAACCGCATGAAATCTTATCAGTTACTCAAGTATTGTATAGTCTCTGGGAGCAGAGGCCACAGCCAATGTGCTCCAGCCCCACTCTCAGGGAGCCCCCTGCCACCCGACATTGCTTCCTCTGATACAGAGGCAGCAGCACAAGAGGAGAAGCTGCCCAGCCTCTGTCTGCAGGGAGCTCAGGCCTGCTGCAGACAGAGGCTACTTTGCAAAAGCCTCCCTTGCTCTTCCCTCCTCCTCCTGACACACACACTGTTGGCTCTGATAGAAGCAGTAGCATGGGGTTAGGGGCAGGTGGCTCCACAGTGTCAGTGCTGGGGGGAACTGGCTTTTGAGCCAGCTCCCCTAGTACAGTCCCTTCCTCCCCTCT